GACTTTCATCATCCAATGGGTCGCATTGACCTGACAAAAAATGTCAACATGTGAACAGACTTAAATTTTCAATTTAAAAAAAAATCAATCTAACCCAATTTTTTTTTTTAAAAAAAATTAATCCATGGGTTGTATTCGATAGTTTGAATTAGTTAGGCTCTCGAGTCATATGAACGAAAAAAAATTAATCCATGGGTTGTATTCGATAGTTTGAATTAGTTAGGCTCTCGAGTCATATGAACGCCCTTGTAAAAAAACAACAGAAAACATGAACAAGAAAGACGAAAGTTGATTTTGTTCTTTAAAAAAATTATATATAAGTGAATTCAGAAAACATGAACAAGAAAGACGAAAGTTGATTTTGTTCTTTAAAAAAATTATATATAAGTGAATTACCGTTACACAAAATTTATATTTATAAAAAATAAAAAATAAGAAAACACGAAAACGTCATCGAACGAGTCGCTATCGAGTGCCCAACTAAACTATATAGTGGAAAGAAAATTGAATTGGAAGGGAATCTTCCACCATGGATGAGAGTGCCCAACTAAACTATATAGTGGAAAGAAAATTGAATTGGAAGGGAATCTTCCACCATGGATGAGATGATGATGAGGAGGATGGAAGGTTTTACAAAAATAAGGGGAAACATATAACCAAATTGATTTATAGATGCTTTGAATTATTGGTTGAAAAGATGAGGAATGTAAGAAAGATGGTTTGGTGGGGGCCCATTTGAATATCTTCAAACCTCATTCATTCCAAGATACTTCTTACCTTCCCTTTTTCTTTTTCCTTTTTAATTTCATTCAACATGTTCGTGTTGAAGCTCGTTGATTTGTACCTTCCCTTTTTCTTTTTCCTTTTTAATTTCATTCAACATGTTCGTGTTGAAGCTCGTTGATTTGTAGGATGTGTTTCTGTGTAGTTTAAGATCTGTCTCGAGATTACTGTTTCGAACGGTTAGAATAAAACTACAATAGAAAAGACCCGTTTGATAACGTTTCTATTTATGTTTTGAAAAACACGACCGCGAAAAAACTACAATAGAAAAGACCCGTTTGATAACGTTTCTATTTATGTTTTGAAAAACACGACCGCGAAACAATATACTTAGTTTTGATACTAAACAAAGAGCGGAAAACAACCCATTCAATTATTTTTATAACCCATTCAAAACTGTTGTTAATAAAATAAAAACAAAAAATCTCTTTTTAGAATAAGGTACCAAATCCATATCAAGAGAAGTGGAAGAGGTACCTCATAATTTTAATTTACTATTTTCAATTATTATTATTATTATTATTATTATTTCCTTCTCTCTTTTTCTCGTCTTTTTAATTTATTATTGTTAAGGATATTTAGTAATAAATTATAGTTTACCATATATATTATATTTGATATTTTATTATAAGGCAAATATCTAATATTTGCCTTATTATCATAGGTATCTTTCCATTTATTGTTATTTCCATTTATTACTATTCCCATATCCTTGTAATTCATTTGATTATAAATAAGATAACTTTCACACTATTATTTATGTGTGTTAGATTAATCAAACATTCACAATTATTATTTTTTCTTAACATAGAAATATGTATCGAAAACACCAAGTGTGATCATATTTTTAATGATTTGATTAAATAAAAAGATTATATTTTTTTAATTGAATGGAGACTCGAAGATAAAATTAGATAATTAAATTAATAATAAAAGTGTTAAAATAAAAAAATAAAAAAAGTAAGAAAAAGAGTTGGGGAGGTAATAATTGGGGAGTTGAAATGGGAATAAGATTGATTTTTCCAATAGGAAAAGCAAATTGTCATGAAAAATAGTGCACCAAGAAATTGACAAACAAATGGAACATATTTCAAATTCTAACCCCACTTTGTTTTCTCTATTCAATGCCCACTTTCTCTTTGCTATTTTTTAATTTGATAGACCAACACGACTCTCCACAATGGTATGATATTGTCCATTTTAAGCGTAAGCTCTCATGGCTTTGCTTTGGGCTTCCCAAAAAGCCTCATTCCAATGAAGTTAGTATTCTTCAGTTATAAATCTATGATCATTCTCTGAGGTAGAACTTTCATCATCCAACACAATTCACTTTCATTTTTCCTCCGGTGTTCTAGAGAGAGGTTTCTTCACCCTTATAAATAATAGTTTGTTATCATCTTCAAGGGACGTGAATGAAGATTAATCCTATTTGTAATATAACATTAATTTCCAATATTTTCTTAATTTTTTAATAATTATTAAAATAATAAAGTTTTTTCCAAAAAAATAATTATAAGCAATGAAATGGAATGCTCAGCCGTAGCCTCACTATATTTTGTCCATTTAAATAATACTTTTTTTTTTAATTAAAAAGGCTTTTATTTATTTATTTTTATTTTTTGAGCCAACCAATGATGAGGAAAGGGAAAAGCCAAATGGAACCCATCACCGTCAAACTTGAAAAAAAAAAAAACGGTCAGGCTGGGACGACGGCGGTTGGGTGGTTTCGATGCTCAAGGTGGCAGAGCTGCCGCGTGGGCGGCGGCCGGAATCCTTATGCGCGTGGTCTAATTCTGACTCGTGTGGAAATTTTACATCATCCATTTTTTCTCCACACGCAAATTCATGTATTTAATTTAACACCTCCCCTAGGATTTCGGAATTTATCAATTACATAATATGTATATTTATTTGATTAATTTTCTTTTAAGTAATTTAATTACAGGGAAAAATTTATTTCGACTACTTGACCCGACATCAAATAATTTCTTATATATTAATTTTTCAAATCATTTATGACGTTGAGATACAGTTAGGACAATAATAGAATTGATTAGTAAGGTAGAATTATTTTTTAATATTGATATTATATTAAGCGGGTATTGTACCCTTTAAATGCAATGCAAGTATTATAATTTGGAGCTAAAAGTTAGTGGGAATGATATGAAAAGGCCCTACGCTACTAGAAGTAAGTTTAATCATTGTGGGTCATACCGTTCTATGTAACCTATAGTAATTATGTAGTGGTAGGGAAACCTTTGATGCTACACCAATATTAAATATCTTCTCCTTATACTTTATTTTTGTGAGAATATTCAAAAAAGGAAAAAAAAAAAAAAAACGAAGAACGATATTTCAAATTAATGAAATTTTTAAAAATTTTTTTTGTGTGTGTGGGGGAAGTTATTCCATCCTTCAAAATAAATTAAAATATCAAATATTCTTATATTTATACTATCATAAACTTAATTATATTTAAATATATTCTTAAAATTAGAAACATAATTTAATGTCTCTGTGTATTAGGAAATTAGTAAAGAAAAAGTTAGTCAAGTTCATAAATTTGGTAACGTATTTGAAATAATTTCTAAAAATAAATTATATACTTTTTTGTACTTGTTTCAATATTGCATCAAGAAGAAGAAACTAGGAATTTGATCCAACGATCCAGAATGAAAGAAACAGGATAATTTGGACCAAACATCCTCGTATTCTACAATGGCCTTAAACCAAGCAATGGAAGAAGGAACCAAAAAAGAAGGACCAAACATCCTCGTATTCTACAATGGCCTTAAACCAAGCAATGGAAGAAGGAACCAAAAAAGAAGGTGAATTTTGTTTGAAGTTCCCACATTATTGTCCTCTCCAAGTCAAAATTGGAAGCTAAAAAACATGGATATTGGGGCAGAGAGTGGCTTTTTCCCGTATCTCTTCCAATCATTATTGGGAACTAAAAAACATGGATATTGGGGCAGAGAGTGGCTTTTTCCCGTATCTCTTCCAATCATTATTGGGAAAAAGATGTAAAAACTCAATCTTGGTTGGTATGAATACAGTATTTGTGGTATGTAGCTGAGTCTTCTCCTTCTCTCCCCTGTCTTTTCGTAGCCATAAAAATGATAAAGTTGAAAGCTTGATTAGTTTAAACAAAGATGTAGCTCAACGGAGGTGGAAGAACACGAAAGCCAATGCGTTAAAGAAGGCATGGATGACCCTTTTTGTGAAATTACTGTGCCTTCTCCCGCAAACATTCCTTGACTCACAAAAGAACAAAACAAAAAACATTTACTACTCGTATACACATTTTGCTTTTATCTTTATTGCCTTCTTTAGGTTGCTTTTGCTTTCATGGTAGACCAAAACAGGGCAAAAAATTGAAGGCTATAGGGTTTGGTTCGGTTCGGTTGTTGCTTTCATGGTAGACCAAAACAGGGCAAAAAATTGAAGGCTATAGGGTTTGGTTCGGTTCGGTTGGAGAGCTTTCTCTCACATATACGTTCTTAAAATCTTGAGAGGAAAGTCTGTTACCAATAGTATCAAAGCCAGACATTGAACTTTGGGAACCCGAAACATCTCCCCAATATTACAGGTTTTTAAATTTTTGAGCGAAAAGTTTAATATGTACTAGTGGTAGGCTCGAAGAAGAGGGCGAGGCTTCTTAACCGTTGTGTTGACCCAAGAGGGCAGGCTTTTTTAGGGCGACCCTTTGGTTTAGTGGATGTTTGAGAGAGGGTAAAGAAGAAAAAGAGGGCAGGCTTTTTTAGGGCGACCCTTTGGTTTAGTGGATGTTTGAGAGAGGGTAAAGAAGAAAAAGAAGGGTAATAAAAGGCATGCCCGTTGCTCCATCATGTTGAGTCTGTCTCAGCTAGAATTAAAAAGGAAAAGGGGAAGGAGAAGGGAGACCCTTAACACTGACTCACTCACTCTTTCTTTCTTTCGTTCGTTCTTTCTTTCTTTCTTCTCTGCAGACCCTTAACACTGACTCACTCACTCTTTCTTTCTTTCGTTCGTTCTTTCTTTCTTTCTTCTCTGCACTTTATACTGTTCAAATTCGATACTTTGCTGTTTTTACAGAGAACGAGGCCCTTTGGTGTACAGAATAGAGAAAGAGAAGCTCAATGAGCTTTATATCTCTCTAAAACTTTCTCTCTCTATCTCTCTACAGAATAGAGAAAGAGAAGCTCAATGAGCTTTATATCTCTCTAAAACTTTCTCTCTCTATCTCTCTATCTCAAACTTTCTCTGCATTGCCTTCTTCTACTTCACAATCTCTCCCCATTTCTTCTTCTTCTTGTTCTAAGCTTTTCCCCTCTCTTTTGGGCCTCTCTTGTTTAGTGGAAGGAAGGGGGATTTTGGGTTTGATCTTGTTGGGTGTTTGTGAAGAAACCCTTTAAGGGTTTTTTTGGATGGAGAGGGATTTTGGGTTTGATCTTGTTGGGTGTTTGTGAAGAAACCCTTTAAGGGTTTTTTTGGATGGAGAGTTCTTTGTCTATTTGTCTTGGATTCTGATGGGTTTTTGATGATTTGAAGCGAAACCCTTGAATTCTGAGTAGTAGTGGGAGCTGTATGAAGTAGTGGTGGAACAATGAGCGATGAGAATTCCAAGAAAAGCAAGGTTGTTCTTCAATTTCTTTAAAACCCCACTTGGATATACTGATTCTTATGTTTTGTGAAGGAAAAAATTGGGAATCTGATTGTTTTTTGGCTCTCCTTTTGGTTCTTGAAGCTCTCATGGTCCAAGAAAATGGTCAGGAAATGGTTCAATATCAGGTGCAAAAGCGAGGATTTTCAAGCGGATGTTGCTTATAGAGGTTGGTCTTTGAATTTTGATTGAAATCTTTCGTTTTCTGCTTCTGGGTTGAAGTTCTTTCTCCATTGATGACGTTCTTTGTTCTACAGGAAGTGATATCGATTACAGAAGCAGAAGCTTCTCAGAGAGGGAGCCTTGCACCATCAAGAAAAGCAAAACAGGTTCATAAACACAGTCTAATCCACCTCGTTTTTGTGAGTTTGATTCTTAGAAAAACTGTTTATCATAACTTTTTAACACAGTCTAATCCACCTCGTTTTTGTGAGTTTGATTCTTAGAAAAACTGTTTATCATAACTTTTTTCATCAATTCTCAGAGAAATTCAGCAAAAATGGCGAGCCGGGACGCCGAGGGAAGATGAATCTTGACCATCCTCGAATCATTGATGTGCAGAACTATAGGTAAAGAATTGGTTGTTCTTCTTCTGTTCCTTGACCATCCTCGAATCATTGATGTGCAGAACTATAGGTAAAGAATTGGTTGTTCTTCTTCTGTTCTTGCATTTTGGTTGGTTTTGATCCAAAACTGAGTGGTTTTTCTTCAGCATTTTTGTTGCTACATGGAACGTGGCTGGAAGATCTCCTCCTAACAATCTAAATCTGGATGATTGGCTTCAATCCTCACCCCCTGCTGATATTTATGTTCTTGGGTATGAATTTTGATACGCTTTTTCACTCATTGTAGTTTGTTCTTCCATCAGTTTTGGAGAAGGGAAGATAGTTGGTAAGTTTGTTTCGTTGTGGATTTCAGATTTCAGGAGATAGTGCCATTGAATGCTGGTAATATACTCGGTGCAGAAGACAATGGTCCTGCTAAAAAATGGCAGGCTCTCATTCGAAAGACTCTAAACAATCTTCCCGGAACGAGCGTGGGGAATGCGTGTTATACGCCTTCTCCAATTCCGAAACCCGTTGTGGAGATAAATGCAGATTTTGAGGGGTCTGCTAGGCAGAAGAATTCATCGTTCTTCCATCGACGATCGTTTCAAACAACTCACAGCTGGAGAATGGATAATGATCCTTCAATACTGCAGCCACGACTCGACCGAAGATTTAGTGTATGTGACCGTGTTATCTTCGGTCATCGGTCGAGTGATTTTGGTCCTAACTTTAGAGGGAGCCACAGGCCAAGTGATTACTGCAGACCAAGTGACTACTCAAGACCAAGTGACTATTCCAGGTCCAGTGACTTTTGCAGGCCGAGCGATTACTCTAGGCCGAGCGACTTTTGCAGGCCGAGTGACTCGAGGCCTAGTGACTGTTCGAGATGGGGTTCGTCCGATGATGATAATGTTTCGTGGGAGTCACCGAGCACGGTTTTGTTTTCGCCTATGTCGCATGGTGGATCGTCATCCCAGGATGGTGGATATAGAATGCCAGGACATTCAAGATATTGCTTAGTTGCAAGCAAACAAATGGTTGGCATATTTCTCACAATATGGGTGAAAAGTGACTTGAGGGATCATGTTCGAAACATGAAGGTTTCTTGTCATATTTCTCACAATATGGGTGAAAAGTGACTTGAGGGATCATGTTCGAAACATGAAGGTTTCTTGTGTTGGTAGAGGATTGATGGGTTACCTTGGAAATAAGGTATCAATCATACGACAACGTCAGCTTCGTTTTCTAATATCTTTCAACTTTTCTGTTAATCGAAACGAACGCTCTGATCTACTGCAGGGATCGATTTCTATTAGCATGTTTCAACTTTTCTGTTAATCGAAACGAACGCTCTGATCTACTGCAGGGATCGATTTCTATTAGCATGTCTTTGCATCAAACAAGCTTTTGCTTCATTTGTACTCACTTAACATCTGGAGAGAAAGAAGGCGACGAGCTTAGAAGAAACTCTGACGTGATGGAGATACTTAAAAAGACAAGGTTTCCACGAGTTCACGGTGCAGGCAGCGACGAGAAATCCCCTGAAACAATCCTCGAGCATGAGTAAGATATTTTCTCATCAACATCTGCACACAAAATTTAGTTATGTTCATTGTTCTGACCATCTTAAGCTATCTTGCAGTCGTGTTATTTGGCTCGGGGATTTAAACTATCGAATTGCTCTTTCTTACCGTTCGGCCAAGGCGCTCGTAGAGATGCAAAACTGGAGGGCATTGCTTGAGAAAGATCAGGTATGACTGCATAACCTCGTCTTCGAAAAACATTGGAACTTTGAATGCATCGTTATAATTAACCAACCATGTTCCTATGCAGCTACGAATAGAACAAAGACTTGGGCATGTATTTGCTGGATGGAATGAAGGAAAGATTTACTTTCCTCCTACATATAAGTATTCAACTAATTCAGATCGATATGCAGGAGAGGGCGCTTACCCGAAAGAAAAGCGTCGTAAACCCGCTTGGTAAGTCAATCGTGCCAGCCAGTTTATTCAATCTCAACTTATTATTACATTAGCCATGGTAGGAAAGTTTTCATCTACTAATTCAGCACGCTGATTTACGTCTTCTGTTTATGAAGGTGCGATCGGATATTATGGCATGGAGAAGGCCTCCATCAGCTATCCTACGTCCGTGGAGAGTCAAGGTTTTCAGATCATAGACCGGTTTACGGAGTGTTTTGGGCCGAGGTTGAGTCAAGTCGAGGGAGATTGAAGAAAAGCATGAGTTATTCCAGTTCGAGAGTCGAAGTTGAAGAGCTTCTTCCATACGCACATGGATACACCGAGTTAAACTTTTTCTGAAAGCGAGATCCAATGGGAAGAGCTTCTTCCATACGCACATGGATACACCGAGTTAAACTTTTTCTGAAAGCGAGATCCAATGGCTACACAATCCAGCCATAGTGAGCTATCCCTTTTGTAGCTAAAGCCATTGTGAGGTATCGTTTTTCGGCCGACCCGAAACTTTGTATATCACACTCGTAGAAAATTTTGCAATAAGATTCCTCCCCAAAGAGAGAGATGATGTAAACTTTGTATATCACACTCGTAGAAAATTTTGCAATAAGATTCCTCCCCAAAGAGAGAGATGATGTAAGAGTAGGATTAGGATTTGTTTGAATCTCCTTTACAAAGCTTTGTTCAACTCTCCTATAATTCAACCCTCAAGAAAGCTATACCTGATTTGACTGCAAATCTGGCCCCAGACGGTGGTGGAGCTCATCCCTTGAAGGCTGATGGGGACACTTCGTAGCTCACAGCCCAAAAAAGTAGACGGTGGTGGAGCTCATCCCTTGAAGGCTGATGGGGACACTTCGTAGCTCACAGCCCAAAAAAGTATGCTTTCCTTCTCTTTTCTTGGTTCAGCTGTGGGGTCTCACCTTGTTTTGTCTCATATTGCTTTTGCTTTTTGTTTCAGGTCCTCATTTTGAAGTCCCTGTAGGTTACCTAATACCACTGACCTTTCTTCACAACACATTGTGCCTTTGCTCATCATATCTTGTTATAGCTGAGTTTACTCACTTTTTAGTACACACCTGCATAATTCGGTCGCCTAATCGATAACGATGCTTAGCTTTCGGGTAATGATTGTTACTCCCATTAAGCATTCCTGTTGAATATCGGCTGAGTCGATTGCTTAGCTTTCGGGTAATGATTGTTACTCCCATTAAGCATTCCTGTTGAATATCGGCTGAGTCGATTGCTGATTACTTCTGTACTTAATATCAATTATTGTAGCTTCGTCGTGTTCTAATCATGAAAAGCTCTTGTTCTTGCAGGATTGGAAGAACTCGACCTGTAAAGCGACGACATGTGGAGGATCGAGTAATATTTTTGGCTTCTTTTGAATTTTTTTCTCTCTTCATTTCTTGATTCTTTCTCTCTGTGTGGGAATACACATGGGTAGCACCTTTTTTTTTTTTTTTAATTTTTTTCCTCAAATCCAAAAAGAGGAAAAGAATCAGTGGATGTATGAATGATACTTATTTACCATAGGATGTGAAAGAGGTGAAAACCCCCAAAAAGTTGAAGAAAAAGATATGATTTATTACAGTGTGAAATCTGAATTTTCCCCCCTTTTCTCCTGCTGACTGCTGTGCATTTTTCATCACTTTTACTGTAAAAAGTTGGTTTTTTGTTCATTGTCTTCTCAGGCATGCCATCTTCTTTATGATGATTACACAAGTGAACAAAACTAGAAAGACAAAGCAGGGGACAATGTTACAGGTTTTGACAGTAATGGAAACCAAGATTCAGAAAAAAGCCTTTGTTAAAGCAGGGGACAATGTTACAGGTTTTGACAGTAATGGAAACCAAGATTCAGAAAAAAGCCTTTGTTTTTGGTTTTGTTCTTTTATATCTTCTAAATTTTTGAGCTCTTGGTAGGAGTGGGACGACCGGTTTCTTGTAAAGTTGTGTAAACCTCTCTTCAATAGACAGTTTTAAAACTTTTAAGGAGAAGTGTGAAAGGGAAAATTCAAAGAAGATAACATCATGATATTAGACGGTGTGCTTTGAAGAGGAGTGGATTTTGAGGTCCCTCGTTAGTTGGATAAGGGAATGAAACATTCCTTACAAGTGTGTGGAAACCTCTTTCTAATGGACGCGTTTTAAAACCTTAAAGAGGAGCTTGAAAGAGAAAACTCAAAGAAGATAACATATATGAACACTGGGCTTGAGTATTTACAAATGATATTAGAGCTATATACTGGACGGTGTGTCAGTGAGGATGCTGGACTTTGAAGTGGAGTGGATTTTGAGGTCCCTTATCAGTTGGATAGGGGAATGAAGCATTCCTTATAAGTGTGTGGAAACCTTCTTAATGGAATCGTTTTAAAATCTTGAGGGGAAAACCCAAAGAGGATGATATCTACTGACGGTAGACTTGGACTATTATAAATGGTACAGAGCCAGACATTGGACGGTGTATCAGCGAGGATGCTGAGCCTCAAAAGGGGGTAGATTTTAGGTCTCATATCGATGGGAGAGGGGAACGAAACATTTCTTATAAGGGTGTAAAAAAAATCTTCCTCTAATGAACGTGTTTTAGAACCTTATATGATTACAAAATTGTTTCCCACTAGTTGACCGAAAGCAAAAGAAACACCCTCAAACATACCTAATCATAGGTAATCAATCCCTCAAAATGACACCCACCAGCCAATATTAAAAGCACTCAAACATACCTAATCATAGGTAATCAATCCCTCAAAATGACACCCACCAGCCAATATTAAAAGCAGATTTGTCTGTCTTTGTCTATGGGATCCACAAAACAAGCAAGCAAGCACACTGCTAAAGAACCAGCTGCTGCCATTTCTTGCAGACCATATGATTTTGTCAAGAACATGCTTCACATTTACACATACATAAAGGTTAAAACCCACATCAATTAAGTAAAGTCAGACTGGGAGGTCAACTTGTAACATATCTTATCATGAAGGCCTGAAACACTCAAACTCCATTGAATTTTCTTGTTTGGTTTGAAACATGATGGTTGGAATTGGATGATTAGGTGGGTTCGGCTGTATACGATGCTCGATTGTTTACGATCTCGAGCTAAAGACTTCTTTTTTGTTCAATTGTGACCAATAATTGGATAAGAATTTAGATTTTAGATTCGGCACTACATTCCTCTATATCTATCCTATGGCATAGTTATATTATTCACTCATCTTGAACTGCTTCTAAAATCGAAGATTGTTCTCATAAACTAACACGAGTCTTTTAGGATGTTCTCTTCTCACCCACATGTTTTCTAGAAATTTTTTCAAGAGGTCACCAACATAGAATTGCTCCAAACTAATCATCGTTGTCAGCTTCACGGTTTTAAAACATGTCTTCTATGAAGAGGGTTTAACCCTACTCTGACCAATATCTGTCACGTCTTGTGACTGGCTCTGATACCATTCGTAATAGTCCAAACCCATTATTAGCAGATATTTTGCTAACTGTCAAAATCTATTACGATTTTAAAACGTGTCTACTAGACAGAAGTTTCTGCACATTTATAATAAAATATATGTAGATTTACATTAATGATTATTAAGAGATAGTCACATAGTTATAATTTATTATATATTTAAATAAGTAGGGAAAATAGTGAAAATAAAATTATTAATGATTTTGAGATAAATTAATAATTGCTCCACAAAATTTTTTAAATAGATTTTTTTTTAGAAAAAAATATTTAATATATTTCTAAAATTTCAATATTTTATGTTTAATCATTAAAATGAAAATGGGTCTTGTAGAGAACTTGGGCTTCAAGTCATTGCTGAGCATAATTGGAAAAGGGGGAACTCCCAAATTTCACTGAGGCTTTGGAAAACCAGATCGATTTCAAGAAGAAGAAGAAATAAGAAGGGATGGAGAGCGTATTCGGACTTGTGGGCAACGGATTCGTCATAGTGGCGGCGGATACATCGGCGGTGCACAGTATTTTGGTCCATAAATCCAATGAGGACAAGATCATGGTTCTCGATTCCCACAAGCTCGTCGCAGCTAGTGGCGAACCTGGCGACAGGTTTGAGATTTTTATTATTCAATTATTGTTTCTTCTCTAATCGTTTGCCTTTTGTCAATTGTGATCTTCCTCGTGTGATTGAATAGGGTTCAGTTCACCGAGTATATACAGAAGAATGTGTCTTTGTATCAGTTTCGCAATGGGATCCCCTTGACCACTGCTGCTGCTGCTAACTACACTCGTGGTGAACTCGCAACCGCCTTGCGGAAGGTATATCATTTCTTATTACTATTACTTTTATCCGATTAAAATTTCAGCTAACCTTGAATTTTCGATCCTGGGCTTTGAGTTTACATCGGATAAGCGGTTTCAATCATTTGGTCATGATGAAATTTTTTGAATGGTTCTGTCTTCAATCTAACTTTTTGGAGCTTAAAATTATTCAAATGTCTAGACAGAGCGAGGAAATTTCTGTCATCTTTAAGAATGACTCACAGTGAAGAAATTTTTAGGAAAACCCTCGATTTCTGTCATTTTTTAAGAATGTCTCGCAGTGACAAGAAATTAGGCAGATAAACCTCTAGAGATATTGCATTCTATTAACACTTTGTTACTTGTTCTTTTTTTCTTGTATCAAGCTGATAATCATGACAATGTTCGTGTGTATTATATCCTGTTTCAGTCTTGCTCTTGGAATTGTCATCTTATTAGTTCATTCCTTATCATTAGGCAAGGCTTTCATTAAATCTTTGAATTAATAGTGACTTATGTCTTATAGGTCACCTCTTACTCTAGGAATTTCTTGTGGATTCTCGGTTTCTTTGTGATTTTATTTAATTTTACTAATGATTTTCCATGTGTTTTTCCAAATGTTAGTGACTGTCATAAAAATCAATTCTTGTTTACTATCATACCTTCTTAGTTTTATCGAACTCATTCTTCATGGTGCGGCCCCAGCAAGCACAAGCATGGTCTCTTTTTTTAGTCTTTCTTACTGAAGTGTGTGCATGCCAAATAACGAAGTTCATGGCGACTTGGGCAAAGATCACCTATCTTTAAGGCTAAGCTAGGGTAGAGTTATGCAGCTGTGATTTACTCTAGTGTAGATGAGCACATTGTGAAGGAGTTTTACATAGTAATTTGGTTTTTGTTGCTGTGAGCAGAATAATAAATGATCCAATTCTAGTTCTTTCTGCATTTGTCGATAACTGCGAGTGAGCTGTAAAAGGTATATAAGGAGTCTCGCTCTCCTGGCTTATTTGTTGTCATGGGAAATTAACTTGTTGGGTGGGTTGTAATTTGGTAAGACAAACCTGATTTCAACTGTGAACTTCTGATTTTCAGAATCCATATTCCGTGAACATTCTTCTGGCGGGATATGACAAGGAAACTGGCCCATCCCTCTATTACATAGACTATATTGCCACCCTTCACAAGGTTGAGAAGGGAGCTTTTGGTTATGGGTCTTACTTTTCACTCGCCATGATGGATAGACATTACCATAGTGGCATGACAGAACAAGAAGCCATTGATTTGATTGACAAATGCATACTGGAGATTAGGTCCAGGCTTGTTGTAGCCCCACCGAACTTCGTTATCAAGATTGTAGACAAGAACGGAGCTAGGGAGGTTGCTTGGCGCGAATCTATAAAGGATGGAGCTAGCTTTCCCTCAGCTTAAGATTTAAATGTTATATCTGCAGAGGCTTGCTTTTCTTGCTGCCTTAACTTTGTATGAGCTGCTAGCAGAGTGTATTCTACCCTTCTCTTCCCTAGTTTCAGACATTTTTATAGCGTAATGTTGCAGTTAACATTTCTTGTTCCTGAATACATGAGCAAACAAACAAAATGTGAACTTCTATAGATTGATTTATCATCTGTTGTGCTGAAGTTCAAAGGTGCTACTTATGGTTTTATCATAATTGAGTTTGAAAAGTGGGAGATTTGAGAAAGCAAGATCTTAACAAACCAGCTTCAGCGTCCAAAGAATTTGCTTTTCCCTTTGCTTGAATTCATAAAGAACTTCCAAACAGATGACCTGTTCCTTAGGTCTGTTATTTGAGCTGTACAACTGTGACCTTGAGTTCATAATGAAGTCCGATTAGATTACTCTGTTTTATCTTTTCTAGTCTTTAGAAAGGTCAAATTACCACCCTAGCTTCCACTTTTATCTTTTCTAGTCTCTGATGATCTCCATTCTTATCTGATACCCGGATGCATTTTCTGCCTATCTATATATCATTAAATACTACTCTTCGAATCTTTTTTTTTAACTTTTATATGAATGATGTGATATATATTCCATTTTGGCAAGAGACCCCTCTAATTTTTAATGAGACAAGCATCATTCATTTCATTTTTGTATCAAGGAAGCAATTAGAGAGCTCAAGAGAATTAAGAGGATTCCCACAAAAACTAATCCAATCCGAGAATTAAGGATTCTCACAAAAAAAAAAAAACTTCAATTAATAGATGTCTGCTTTAACCCGTTATGTATTACTATCAGCCTCACGGTTTTAAAATGCGTCCACTAAAGAGAGATTTTCACTCTTTCTGAAATGCATACTCCTGTTTTAATCAATAAAAAGGACGTGGACTCTAAAGAGGAACTAATCTTTTTACTTTCCAGCTCCCTTCATATTTTATGAAAATAATACCAATTTCTCAAAGGGTTAGGATTACGATTGACCAGACACAGAAAGTTATAAAAGTCCTAGCCAAGAACAGTTGAAAGGTAAAACCCAGAATACGCTTCCTTCACGTCATTAATAAAGTTGAGCCATCCAAGTCTACAGCCTTGACGGCTAAGTTTTCTTGGGTTCTTTCCTGATGAAGAAATTAGTGGCTTGTTAACCGACCCCCATATAACATTCATTAGGTGTCAAAGCCCCAAGTTTGAACAACTTTACCTCAAAAGCTCCACCACAGAAAACTGTTAAGAAAGTAGGAAAAGTGGTTCACCAAATCAAACTTCTTTCCTTTTGTCCATTTCTTCCTTCCATTCCCTACAAAAACAGAACAATTCTGCTCTGAAACTTCACAAATCAAACTTTCTACCTTCTGAGTTCTCAACAAGTTGTTAACTGTCTTTACCATTCTCAGAAGCAGTTGTAATAGTACTCCATAGCAGAATGGCACAGGGAAAGATGGTGATGGCTCTGCTTGCTGTTATCGTTGCCGTGCACTGGGCAGGAGCAGCGGCACAGTCGGACTGTACGAATGTGCTGATCAGCTTGTCACCGTGCCTGAATTACATTACAGGGAACTCTTCTACCCCATCACAAGGATGCTGCACACAGCTTGCAACCGTTGTCCGCTCACAACCACAGTGCTTGTGCCAGGTCCTGAATGGTGGTGGTTCCTCGCTTGGGGTCAACATCAACCAAACCCAGGCTCTGGCTCTGCCCCAGGCTTGCAATGTTCAGACTCCTTCCATCAGCAGCTGCAATGGTAAGCATTCATTCATGTGTAAAATTTCTGGGCACCACTGCACATAAACTATGAGCAGGAGGATTATTTATGTATAGACATTAGGGTTATGAACAAATATCAAACTCTAACTAAAGTGCTAACTGTTAATACCTGAAAATTGCCAGTTGCTTCTCCCACCGGCTCTCCAGCAGGATCACCGGAATCTTCAAACAATGTTCCTTCAGGTATGTACATAACAAACGCTTAACGGCATGCTGTGTCGTTTCTTTCGTATGACAACTACATAATTAACTTACCTAATTGTATATGCAGGAACTGGATCTAAGACTGTTCCATCACCAGACAACAACTCATCAGACGGAAGCTCCATCCATTTGTCAAAACCTCTACTATTCTCCATCTTGTTGGCTTCTACATATGCTTCAGCTTTCAAGTTGTACTGATCTTCTTATCAGTTGCCTATCTTCTACAAGACTACTTTATGGTTGGTCCATTTATTGCGTTCAGATTCTTTTGGAGTGTCCATTGTTTTAGGCATCCCTTTGGTTGAGGGTGGTTCTATCTTTATATTCTTCTCATGGCATTTGTTTCCAAGAACTTTGTATTGCATCAGAGATTCTTTTGAATAAAATACATGATTCTGTGTTTGTGAGTACTAAAATACTTTCATCAGTGGTTAGAAACAGAAGGTATATAAAACATTAAAAAGAAGTAGAAGAAGAAAGAATCATCTACAAATAAATTTGAATGAAGTTCCAGATAAATTATCTTTATTTTTCAATAACCACAGGTATAAGAAGCCTGCTAATGTAACTCGACTATTTGCTACTTCAAACGAACTGTTAATGGAAGGAGCCGATTTAGTATGTTTCTGTGACCCTTACGTTAATCCCATGGCAGTTGGGCTACAATTTCTCCCCCTTTATATTGGCAATTTGGAAGAAACTGTCAGCCTAAAATCAAAAGAATTAAGAAGAAAGAACTTGTTGGGCTAAAATTTAAGGTTGGAATCGAAGAAGGAAGAAGAAACCAATTGCTAGGCTGAACTTGATGGTTATAGCAGAAGGATCGAAGAAGTGAAGATGGAAAAAGTCAGCCTAAAATGCACATCTTCACGCAGTCATCATCTTGTGTCACCATGATAAATGGTCATAAAAAGAAAATGAAGCAAAGATGGCAAAAACCTTGATGAAGCTACTATCCTATAATAGCCCTCAAGCGACCAATGACTACCTATGGCAAGAAGTGTGCCTTGAAAACATGAGTCTGTATAGCTTAAAGTCGTGAAGTCAAGCCTAAACTATGAATTTCCTAATTGCACAAACTACATTGATGACTAAAATGTACAAAAGAAGGGGGAAATCCCAGCCACCATAGGTGAATACAAGAGAAAAAGACACCACCAATTATCGACTACGGTAGAATGACTATAACCAGCAATCGGGGATGAGCATTACACTAATACAAGGCAGTACAAAGAGAATTATCCGAAAAGATATCAAAGGGTGGAGACTTATTACTGAAAGAGAGACGAATTTATTTCTTGACAAAGAGTCCAAAACAAATGGCTAACAAACACGAAGCTTCTCTTCGTCTTTAAAAGGAAGTACCATCGTGCTTTCTTAACCTCCCAGAATTTTCTTGCATAGGCGCAATGCAGCAAACATATATAAGCTTGGAGCTGTAAAACTCAACTCTCAAGAGATACATTAACTTTTACAAATACAATCTCACTAGCAACATGTAAGCTATATAAACTCAGATTTCTCTAAGTTCCTAACTTATCCTTTCAAATAATCTAATTGGTCATAAACTAATTCTCATTAAGATTTCCTAGAAGTGTTATTTTACATCTGGAACAAGACTCGGTACGGTTATCAGGACACCAAACATGAGCATTCCCCAACAAGTAAAGGCACAAAAAGGGGAAAATGGTGCGCCATGAAATTCACATCAAGAATGAGACCGTGACCTTACAAATTCTTCTAGCCTATCCCACACCTCCAATGCTGCAGCTCTGTCTTGGTGTCGCTTGTTCTTGCTAATCTGCAAAAGGAAACATTATTTAAATTACTACAGGACGTTGCTGAAGAACAATAGGAAAGAATTAACTACAAGAGGCAATGCAAACAAAAATAAGCACAGAGACGGAGGGGGATTTCAAAATTTCAAAGATTGAATCAAGATTTAAAACAATGCAACAGGTTAGAGGGGGAGGATCAGGGAAGTAGAAGATTACCGAAATAATTTTAACATTCCACTGCTTCACATTCTTAGCTGATTCCAAACTGTCGTCTTCAAAACGCATAAAAAATCCAATAACTGCAAAACAGTCAACACGCTTATAAATGAATGGCAAATTTCTCTACTTAAAGAGAGTATTAAGGAACAAATCAACTAATTTGGGATCAATTGTTCCCTTACTTTTATTGAAAATCTCAACATGATCCTTAAAAGGCCAATCTTTGAACTGCCATTCCTTTCCCAATACGAAAACAGCTACAACACGGTCCCAATCCTCTGATTTCAGAGCCGAGGGCTTATCTCTAACCTCGTAGGCAGTCACCACCCTATCTCTGTCCCTACTGAACTTCTTCTGCACGGTCACACAATCAGGCCTCGCCCCTTTCATCTGCTTAACCTTGACATCCGTGGGTATAAAAACACCATCTTCTAAAAACTCCTTTACATTATAAATTGTGATAAGAGTCTGAAAAGCACTCGGAACCAGAATTATAGGCACACCTTCTCCAATCTTCCCTCCTTTCAAGTGCATTTTCGGCTTCGGATTCGCATCATAACCCAAATCATCACCATATCCCCCCAAGCCCCTGTCATCAGAACCCATTAACCTACTCTTAGCAACTAAACCATCCTTCCTCTGTTGCGATTCAATACGCTGCCTCTCCTCCTCGCGCTTCGTGGAGGTCACAAGCACGTTATAGAAATTCCTATTCTTACATTCCAACAACGATTCCCTATCCTTCAACGGTCTCTCAATAGCCCTAATCATCGCCATATAATCAACATTAGTAGAATCCTTAAAACCGTCGTCCTCATCCACCGCATCTATAGCAGCGCCAACAATCACCGGATCTTCAGGGCGATACTCATCGACAGAGGGCAAATCGGGGAACTTGGGATTTTGCGGGACAAGAAACTCGATGGCGTCGGAGGAGGAGACCTTGCCAGTAAGATAATCAAGCAAAGGCTTCCGGTCGGGGAAAGTGACGGAAGAAATTCCCTGAGTGCGAGCATTCTGAAGGTACTCTGTGTGCTTGATATGGTGATTCTTGATGTAATAGACGAGGGTTTCTATAGTGTATAGATTGCCCTGTTTGGACCGGTAAGCGGTTTCGGCGGAGCAAGGGAAGGAATAGTCGGAGCCGAAACGGAACTCGCCGTTGACTCGGACGATTTTGTCGAGCTCGCCTCGAATGGTGAAGTCCCTGAGAGCTGAGAGAGGATCCATTACCAGTGCCGTACCTTTTTTTTCTCAGTGAATTGAGGAAGAAAGATCTTCCCAGTTGGTTTCATATTGGCGTCCGAGGATATTTTTGTAATTTCAATTTTTATTAGATGATTAAATTGGGCCTTTGAACTTGGCCCAGTAAAACTTAAAAAAGGAATATGGGCTTGGGCCGCACTTTTATTTTTTATTTTTTAAATTATAAAACGTGTGTTTTTCTAAAACTAATTGGACTAAATATATTATTGCGAACAAAAATAAATCTTAAATTATAAATTTATTACATTAATTTTTTTTCTTTCAATTTTATAAATAAATATTTCTAATTTTTTATTGTGTTTCTTTAGTACACAGACACAAAAACAAAATTAAAAAACTTATCATTTAACTAAATATAATTATAAATATGTATTTATTTATTTATTTATTTTTTGCTGACTTAAGGAGTCAATATAATTAGGTCGAGGTGGTTGATTCTGGCTAATAAAAACATTAAATTTATTTACAAATCAATTTTTATTTTCTATATATATATAAATATATTAACACTAAATTTATTTTTGGACATATTTGAATAAAATTAGCCTCAATGGAAATGAATTTTGAAAATTTGAGGCATTTCTTTGTCTAAAAGCATTTTAAAAATGGGAAAAAATTCCACCTCGACAACCACGCAAAAGCAACCGAAATCGTCAAAATTCAATTCTTTTTCTAGGCGCAACCAAGAAGAGGGTCAGTTTAGTCATTTTATTCTAATTAAATCACAATTAATATTATAATCCAAATTAGGAACCTTAATTAAATATCCCTCCATGGTCTTCATTTTACACTCAAATCTCAATTTCTCAATCTCACGCTTCGAAAATCCAATTCTGCCCTTCCTCTCATTCCCTCCTTCCTTCAAGATACGTCGTATGCTGGCCCTTCTTGGCGCTGGAACATTCAACTGGAGTTGACGTTCGCGGTCGCTGAAAGAGGACATGTCCGTCGCTGTTCCCTTGTCGCAAATGGACGTGGATGACGAGTCTTTGCCTAATTCTTGGAGTAGTAAGATTATCATTTTGTTTTGTTTTGTTTGTAGGAGTACGCCATTTATTGGAGTCTTTGGAAATTGGAGCTTTGAGATTTGAATACGAACTGTTTGTCTTTTTTAAATTTTGTTTCGTTGCTAAGAATCGGTTTCATGGTGAATCACAAAAGATACTTCGGAATCCAGGATGAGAGTTTTTCAAATGTAATAAAGGTTCATTGATTGAGCGATTGCTATTGATGAAGAAAGAGGTTTCATTGGAGGAGCAGTTTTGCTTCTGATTTCGAAATAAGTTGTGTTTCGTAACTCATTTTTTCATTAGAATTGGGGTCAAATACTGCAGAGTAAAAAAGGGGGGGAAAAAGTCAGAATCTCCGGAGTTTAGGATGATCCCTCGCGTGCACACTGAAGGTTGATTAATAGATCGTGTATATGGATTTTCGACGAAGGAAATAGTTTTGGATTGAAGCTTTAATCTTATTTTTTGCCTTTTCTTATCATGAATTGGGAATTTTTAAAATCATCCATTTGTTAATTTCTAGAGGAATTAGATGCAAAAGAGCTCTAATAGCTTGTAAATACGACATTGATGTGATTCTCAAGCTTTGGACGCTTTAGCGTTGCATTTGGTTGCTACTCATCATATTATATCAAAGCCAGCACACTATGAATGTACCTAATCACTTGTTTCCCCTTATTGTTCTATTGCTTGTATGATCCAGGTAATGACAGGGAAGGGATGCCCTCATACAGTGGTCAAAATACGGCTCATAAGAAGAAATATTATCCAAGCACCATTAAATTTTTTGGGGTGGACCTATCCCCAGATAATGTGGCTGTCGCCATGGTCTATTTTGTTCAAGGGGTTTTAGCCTTAGCAAGGCTTGCTGTTAGTTTTTACTTAAAGGATGACCTACACCTAGATCCGGCAGAGGTACATACTATAAGTCCTGTGATCATGAATATTTAGGTCTTACTTACAAATTTATGATGTTCAGTGTTGACCTACCTTAATGGTGCGTGCTGACAGTTGTATATTATGAACTTTTGACGTTTGTTTTCTGCTCGATATTCTTATGTATAACTCTTCTTTATTCGGTGTCATAGAGTCATTTTCCTTTGTGATGAAATTTTCAATGAAGTATATTATCGCTATATTCTT